TGGAGGAGATGATGCTAAGTGAAATAAGTCAAGCAGAGAAAGTCAATTAGCAAATGGTTTCACTTATTTGTGGAACATAAGGAATAGCCTGAAGGACATTAGAGGAAGGAAGGGAAAAATGAAGGGGGGGAAATTGGAGGGAGAAACAAACCATGAGAGGCTATGGACTCCAAGAAACCAAGTGAGGGTTTTAGAGGGGAGGGTGGTCGAGGGATGGGTTAGCCCAGTGATGGGTACTAAAGGAGGACACGGGGTTGCATGGAACACTGGGTGTTATAAGTAAACAATGAATCATGAAACACTACATCAAAAACTAATGATGTACTGTATGGTGACTAACATAACATAAAAAAAATTAATGGTAAATGAGGGCAATGTGAGATTGTTGCTGAGTGGATCAGAGCCAACATTATGTGTTACAAAGGAGGAAAATCTAAGACAACTTTGGTGCCTTTTGAGAGGTTTAGAACAAGTGAATAATATGGTCTTTTAGCTTAGACTCAGATGTCCCTTTGGGCAAAAGACTGCCAAAATTCCTCCACTTTTAAAGAAATGAGGCAACTGTACAATGGCCAACTTAATAAACATACTTCCAGGGTTATTTTATGTCTGCTTAATCAATGAAGAGATCAGAGCTCAGACTAAAATTATTTGGAATAATACTAATGTGGCTGTCTCTTCTGGTTTTCATTTCACAGAATACTATGTGAAATAGAATTGGCCTAAAGATTTAGACTTAAATGATGACAGATTGATTAGGGTTCTTAATTATTCAAAAGATGTATACCATAATGTACAGATTAGGTAGGCAAAAACAAAAACCAAAAATATAAAACTATGAGATCATTTGTGCTGCATTATAGGATAGTTTAAATGATATAATTCCTCACTGGTTATTACAATTCTTTGAAATATGTGTATGCATTTTGTCTATTTGAATATATGCTGTTGAAAGACACGTGTCAGACAGGATTGCTGCCAAACTAAGAGTGAATTTCGTTGTTGTTGTTGTTATAAAATGCTTTGACCCAAAATCGGGGGTGGGGGGTGGACTTTGCCAAGAGGGTTAAGTCCTGCAGACCTGGAATAGGCTTGAGCTAACATATCTGCACATCATTATCTGTTGGTTAAGGAATGAAATATATTAATAGTGTTTCTTTATAACCAGCAGACCAGGATGTTTGGGGGCAGGTTTTAAGAGCTTATCAACAGTGTTTATTAATAACAGTGTGATTGATGACTTACACCTGTTTTTACTGAAACCTTTAGAGTCTCTGCTGTTGGAGCTGGTTACATAGTAAGAATATGCCCACATATCTGGCAGGGTATAAGAAATCCCAACAGTAAATCCATTTTGGGCTTCTGGGTGATTCTGTGCACAGTGGTTCTTATCTGACAGTGAAACTATGTTCATATAACAGAGGAAAATGGGAACTCATGCCTGGCCCTTATCCAAACCCCATGGTATGAAGCAGCCTTTGGCTGTATGCAAATCCTTACTTTAATGATATTGCACCCTTTTCCCTTAATAAATTGTACACGTGTCAGCATTGTCATTTTGGGTCCTATGAGTCTTCTTTAGCAATTTAATCCTGTTTAACAGTCAAGTTAGTACACCACATTTTCTGGCAATGTGGTAGTTCTATAGTTTTACGCCTTATGTCCATTTCTCAATATGTAATTTTTTTTCTTTCTCGAGTTCTCTCTCCATAAGGCATGTATAATCTAGCTCTTTTTCCGTATTCAGTTTATTCAATGGTCTCTTGTTCCCTTATTTTCTGTGCTAATGACTTTCTCACTGTGATTGCTGGTTTCTGAACTATTTCTCTCGGATTTACTGCACTCTGGTCATCAACAATCTTCTCTGGTTTCCTGAGTAGTCTAACACAAGTATCTTATTCCTGTTATCTCAATAGGGACATGATTACATGCTACCTGTGCTGTTGCATTATCTTCTATCAGGGGTGTATGCCGTACACTGTTTTGAGAACATGTTTATCAACAAAACTATTTTCCATATGTACTCCAATTAATACAGTTCTCTCCCAGAAGTGTTTTTATGAGTTCCTATTAGATTTTCACTCGCATTTATGTCTGACAACACGATTTGTATGTGTGCAGTAACATGCCCATGTGTTCTTGCTTCCCTAGTAACTCTTGCTTCCCAATAATCCTTTCATAGTTTATCTATTAAGCTATTACCTGGGAGTGACCATCTGCCCCTACATCTTTATATATCTATGTCATCTACCTATGGATTTAGCCTATATGTCTAAACTTAGCTTTTTAATGATAACACACCCATTCCTTTTAAATCTTGACTAGTACCATCCAATTTATCCATGCTTTTAAAAAACCCTATACAAACATTTAGCTTTTTAATATTCCACCTTTATAAGTTTCACTTATTTCTCCTATTATCATAGATTTTAGTTATGATGATTGGTCATTCTTTCTATCTCCTATTGTTATCTGGGTTAATATAATGATCTGGGTTGATTAGCTCCTGAAATACAAAGTTTCTTTAAGTCCTCTTATTACTCAAAGTCCAAACTCTAGGAATTAAATGAAATATAAGAATTGGGCACCACTATGATGATAAAGTATGATGATAAAATTCTGAAGTTAAATCCTTGGGGGCAAAGGGCAATGATTCATTAACATTCCAACAAACACTAAAAACAAAAATTTTGGACTATGAGCTGGATCAGTGTGAAGTTTTTAAGTTCTGGGCGTTATAATTTTTAACCTATCTGCATTTATATTGCTTCCAACACTAAATTCAGAAATACATAAAAAAGGTTCTTAGATTATGTACATTGTGATAAACTAATAACTTATAAATTTTTACCAAGTAGCACAGTGCTCACCCATCCATGCTTTTGAGGGATACACTAAACCAAGTGATCAAGCTTAGCACTGTCAGTGATTACTCGCGTTGACAGCATATACTATTAATATGATGAGAATAGCATTTTATTTCTGTGGTCTTCCTACAAAACACAGAACAAAACAAACCTGTAATGCCATTGCAATCATTAAAAAAAAAAAAAGACATGAGAAACCTAAATTGAGGGGTATTCTATGAAATACTTGACGAGTACTCCTCAAAACTGTCAAGGAAACTGAAACATGGAAGGTCTATGAAATTGTCACAGACCAGTTAAATGTAATGTGGTGTCCTGGCTGGGATCTTGGAATATAAAAATAGGATCTCGAAATATAAAAATATTAGGTAAAGGGGTGACTGGGTGGCTCAGTCGGTTAAGCATCCAACTCTTGGTTTTGGCTCAGGTCATGATCTTGCAGCTGTGGGATTGAGCCCCATGTCAGGATCTGCACTCAGTGCAGAGCCTGCTTCATATTCTCGCTCTCTCCCTACCACTCACTCTTTCTCAAATAAATAAAATCTTTTTAAAAACATTAGGGAAAAACCAGTGCCATCTGAAAAATGTTTAGTTAATAATGTATCAGTGTCATTACTTACTTAAGACAAACATACCAGAGTAAGATGTTAGTAAGAGAAACTGGGTGAGAAGTATATAGTATTGGTAGTTTTTATTTAAATCTAAAACTATTCTAAACTGAATTTTTAACAGTACTCCAGGTTTGATAATTTCCTTTTCATATATAGTTTTCTGAAAAGTCAGGCATGCTCATAAAGAGATTTTTTCCCCTATCATTTACCTTTGAACATTGTGCACTAAGCTCAAGTTGCATCAAGGTGTCAGAGACTGAGGAGATGCAAACACTTTATCTGCTAGAACTTCCTTGCCACAAAGAGTGCTGATTCAGTAGCTGGTGTATTAGCCCTGGTGGTGTGATGATACAGCCTTTATCCAATAGTGAGCTCTTAGTACAGGTTCTTTTCCTTGGCAGTGATGCTGCAAAGTGGTAACAACCCGGTGTCAAAGAATTACCTGTTCTCCAATTAATACTAAAGGTATGCCATCATTTCCCCTCACATAGTATCAGCAGGGGATTGGGAATAGAAAACTTACTCAGGGAATCAACTGACTTACCGCCCTCATGCTCGATCTACCAGATCACACTTGCAGAAAGCAATGTGCCCATGGTTGAGAGAAATTTTGTGGTTCAGGTTTTTAAAAAACGAGGACGGCATTTACTTTCTTCTCTGTGCTGACCAAACCATGTAGCCTCAAATGATGACAGACTAACCAATATTTTCTTGGCTAAAACTATACAACACTAAATTGTTCCCTCAAAAGTTAGTCTGGGGGAGCCTGGGTGGCTCAGTCATTAAGCGTCTGCCTTCGGCTCAGGTCATGGTCCCAGGGTCCTGGGATCGAGCCCCACATCGGGCTCCCTGCTCCGCGGGAAGCCTGCCTCTCCTTCTCCCACTCCCCCCGCTTGTGTTCCCTCTCTCACTGTGTCTCCCTGTCAAATAAAGAAAATCTTAAAAAAAAAGTCTGCTTTTTAATACTAATGTGGTACTTATAATATGAAAGTAGCCTTTTTCATTCCAATTCCAAAACCTGCTGTCCAAGCAGGATAAAAATAACAATGGTTTGCAATGCTGCATAATGTGAACACACATTATGAGGATGGAAAAAGATCCTACACAAGATGCGTAGGCTATATGCATACTAGAGGAGTGAGGCTATGATGTCCTTTATAATTCACAGTACAAAATAAACCACTAGTGGGATATAATGAAGGCCAAAAAACATGTAAGAATCATCCAGCCCACCTACCCATACACAGATACATACACACACACAAGGAAACTTAGGAAATCTTATGGATTTCCAGTATCCTAGAAAAACAGGACCACACTACCAGGCAGATACAGCAGGCAGGCCAAAATTTCACAGCATCAACAGCATCAAGCTGAGGGAAGCCAACAGAACATAAACTAACTGAAAAAAGGAAAGTGGACAGGTTCCAGACCAGGTTTGCCTGCTGCCTTCTACTAGAACTCCTCAGCAGTAATGAATTCTGTTACATAAACTGATATAGATGTACCACATAGCTCAGAGACTAGCCACGAACATTTATTGGTATTGTCCACAGAATTCAAATAATCCTTCCATCTTTAAAACTTCACATTCTATGGTGAGTTTGTGTATAGAATATTTTATTATATATTTTCTATAAAATTTGATGTTACATATAAAGCACAAATTTAGGTACATCAGTTCTAGGTGAAGATTTTATCTTCAATTCTGAAACATACATTTCCTCAGGAAAAAAAAATTACCTGGAGCAAACTTTCCATAGTTGTTAAAAAATATCATTTATCAAAATATAAGATTTTGGTCAAATCTTATCGGCTATTAAATATGTAGTAAAGGCTTTTGTGTTTTTCCCTGAGATTGCTCTAATTTTTAATGAAAGCTTCTGATCAAGTCAAGATGTTGACAGTTTTCTTCCTCACGTGAAGTCTCTGATGTACAATGACAGGCTGAATTTTATAGGTCTTCTGACATGATATTCATAGGGTTTTGTCCCATTGCAACAGAATTACCTATGTGCATTTAACAAACAGAACAGAATCTTTAAGAGCTCAACAGAGTAGTTTTTTTAAGTCAACTTGTGAAGATCTGTTAGTGGAGAACTGTTTCACACAGTTATTCAGATTTTGGCTTCCTTCACCTTGTGTTCTTCCATGTTTAATACACATGCCAAGTCTGCCCTGGCAATATCTCTATTCCAACATAACATAGGACAGAAAGAATGTACGGTGATTTTTGAAAGCTAGACTTAGCTTAAATGTTATAGTGTCATATTCCATGACCAGTATCACTCAAATGAAAGACTGGGAAATTAGACAAACCATGTGCCTAGTGGACAAGGAAATGTTTAAGGGAAACAATCTGCCAGTCTGTGACATGAGCTTTTTTTACTGTGTATTATCAATTAAGGTATGAGTCCCTTCAGGACTTCCCCAATTCACCACATGCAAGGGTTTTCTCTCTGGTGTGCATTCTGGTGTGATGTACTCTAAGCGCTGCCTTACGGATAAAAGTTTTCCTGCATTCATTACATTCATAGGGTTTCTCTCCTGTGTGAATTCTCTGGTGTACTCTGAGAGTTGAATTTTGTGCAAAAGCTTTCCCACATTCATTACACTCATAAGGTTTCTCCCCTGTGTGAATTCTCTGGTGTGCACTAAGGTGTGACTTCTGGGAGAAAGTCTTCCCACATTCATTACATTCATAGGATTTTACACCTGTGTGAGTTCTCTGATGTACTCTGAGGGTTGAATTATGGGCAAAAGGTTTCCCGCATATATTACATTCATAGGGTTTCTCCCCTGTGTGAATTCTCTGATGTGCAATAACATATGACTTCTGGGAGAAAGTTTTCCCACATTCATTACATTCATAGGGTTTCTCCCCTGTTTGAGTCCTCAGATGTGCCCGGAGGTGTGATGTCTTGGAGAAAGTTTTCCCACATTCATTACACTCATAGGGTTTCTCCCCTGTATGAATTCTCTGATGTGCCCTGAGGGCTGAATTATCAGCAAAAGTTTTCCCACATTCTTTGCATTCATAAGGTTTCTCCCCTGTGTGGATTCTCTGATGTGCACAGAGGTGTGTTCTTTGGGAGAAAGTTTTCCCACATTCATTACACTCATAGGGTTTCTCTCCTGTGTGAATTCTTTGATGGACTATGAGGGCTGCCTTATAGACAAATGTTTTCCCACATTCATTACATTTATAAGGTTTTTCCCCTTTATGAATTCTCTCATGTCCACTGAGGTATGATTTCTGAGAGAAGGTTTTCCCACACTCGCTACATTCATAAGGTTTCTCCCCTGTGTGAATTCTCTGATGTGTACTGAGATGTGTCTTCTGTGAAAAAGTTTTCCTACATTCATTACATTCATAGAGTTTCTCCCCTGTATGAATTCTCTGATGTGCTCTGAGAGCTGAATTATGGGCAAATGTTTTCATACATTCATTACATGCATATGGTTTCTCCCCTGTATGAATTCTCTGATGTACTCTGAGAGCTGAATTATGGGCAAAAGTTTTTTCACAGTCACTACACTCATAGGGTTTCTCCCCTGTGTGAATTCTCTGATGTGCTCTAAGGGCTGAATTATGGGCAAAAGATCTCCCACAGTCATTACATTCATAGGGTTTCTCACCTGTATGAATTCTCTGATGTGCTCTGAGAACAGATATATGGGCAAAGGACCTCCCACATTCATTACATTCATAGGGTTTCTCCCCTGTGTGAATTCTCTGATGTGCTCTGAGGGTTGAATTATCAGCAAAAGTTTTCCCACATCTGTTACATTCATAGGGTTTCTCCCCAGTATGGACTCTCTGATGTGCACTAAGGTGTGTCTTGTGAGAGAAAGTTTTCCCACATTCAATACATTTGTAAGGTTTTTCGCCTGTGTGAATTCTCTGATGTGCTCTGAGATGTGATGTCTTAGAGAAAGTTTTCCCACATTCAATACATTTGTAGGATTTCTCCTCTGTGTGAATTCTCTGATGTTCTTTGAGATGTCCCATCTTGGAGAATGTTTTCCCATATATGTTACTTTGACAGAGTTTCATTCCTGTGTGTGTTCTCTGGTGTACTATGAGAGCAGACTTCTTGTAAGATTTCCCACATCCACTGTTATCATAATCCTTTGTGTGAATTGTCAGATTTTCATGGATGTTTGACTTTTGACAGAAAGTTTTCCCACATTTATTACATTCACAGAGACTGACCCTCATATCAGTTCCAGGATAATGAGTAGGGTGTGAACTTGAATAAAAAGATTCCCCACATTCCTCACATTTCTCAGGTTCCTCCTCTGAGCGGGTCCTCAGATGATGAATGAGTTGTGCTTTCTGGTAAAAGGATTTCCTGCATTCATTACATTCAAATGACTTCTCTCCAGTTTCACTTTGCTGATGTACACTGAGGGCTGAGTTTTGATGGAAGGACCTCTCATATTTATCACACTGGTAGAGTTCCTCTTCTGTGTGAGTTCTCTGACATACTATAAGGTCTAATTTCTGATAGAAGGCATTTATACATCCATTATATGCACAAAATTCATCTCTAATTTGTGTTTTTTGTACTAAATGGGTTGAGCTCTGGCTCAACTTTTCTTCACATTTATTGCTTGCAAAAGCACCCTGTTCTTTAAAAGTTCTCTGAGAATGAGTGAGAGGTAAGAGCCTGCTGAAGTTATTCCCATTTTCATTATATTCAGAGTTTGTTATAGCCAGATGAACTTTATCATATTTCACAGTGGTGGTTTTGTCACAGGATTTCCCACATTCATTAAGATCAAAGCATTTCTCTCTTGTGCCAGTTCTCACACAGTTAAATAAAGTTGCTTTATCACAGTTTTTCCTAAATTCATCATCCTTATAGGATTCCTCTCCTATAACACAGTGAGTCTTATCATGTAAAACTTTCCTAAATTCATTACATTCAAAAGACTGCTCCAGGCTTTGAAATTTCTGATGATCTTTCCTATTATTGAGAGGTTTCATGTTTTTCTTATAACCATAAGATTTCTCTCCAGTATGAGTTTTCTCATGTTTAATATCAAGCTGCAACTTTTTGCATACATTCATGTAATCAGCCTTCTTTCTTGAATAGTTTCTATCACAAATAATTAATTCAGAAACAACTGGCAAATTCATTCTACATGAGTCACATTTACAGGGCATTTTTCCAAAAGAATTTGGAATTATATCCAGAGTAAATGGTTTTTCTAAAACTTTCTGCCCTTCTTTACTCAGTGTTTTGTTATCAGTGAATATTACTTGCCACAGAGGTTTCACTTGTTTTTCCGGGTTCCCTTCAATGAGAATATCAACACTGAAATATCCTAAAATGAGAAAAATTGAAAACATCTTTATATCTTATATTTCTTATGGAGAGGAACTTACAGCCATATGTTTGTTATGTATTGTAGCCTGTTACAGGTCACATTTCCAAATATCAGTAATTCATACACATAAAGAAAAGACAGATACACTTTTTCCTCATCCGTGTTGTTTAAAGAAAACAGGTATTATTTTCAGTGCTGGCCAGGACTGAGTAGCTAGCGCCTTTCTTCCTAAGTCCTCCCTCTTACAATTAACAAATCCCTGGACAATCAATAAATCAATAAATCAAGAGTAAGTAAGATGCTACAAAATGGAAGGTGGACTTTGGAACTCAAGAAATGACATAGCAGAGGATTCCAAGATTGTTCTTTCTGCTTCGCATATATCTTATATGGGGCACTGGAGTGCTGGAAAAGCCCGCAATCCAAGTCAACAATATACGTAACAAAAAGAGCTACAGGAAAAGCCTGTTCCTTCTAGCCAAAGGTCTGAAAAAAAGGTGGTTTAAGAAAACAGAAAATCTTTTTGACGATACCCACCCTGCTCAAGCCAAACAAAAATAGGTTTAACAGAGAATGAAAGTTCCACTGCCACAGGTATAAAGGACTGGACACTCTTAGAAAACTTCTTTCCATGACCGAAAACGAAGAGCTCACTAGAGAGATCATGAAGAATCCTAAGAAAGTTCTATTCACAGGACATTCAGGGATGGTAACAGCAACCACTACCAAAATTCTTCCTGGAACCACATTCTTATCTATTCTATGGAATCTGCAATAGCAAAAGCAATAAATCTGTTTTAGGGCACTTATGGCAACACAGCAGGTAGGGGAAGAAAAGAAGGGAAAAGAGGCAGGAATACTACAATATTTCAGCTAGAAGGATGAAACAGCATTTGTAATAACCATGCTCTCAAAACCCAAGAACACAGTACATTTAAAAAACAGTTTAATTTACATTATTCTCAAATGCATAGGAAATATTCATCACAGCAGACTGCATTCTACACTGCAAGAAAAATTTTCACAAATATAAAAAAAACAGAAATCAAAGTATAATCTCAGGCCATCAAGAAATTATACTAGAAATCAGTAATGCAAAGTCACCTGGAGAAACACAAAATATTTGTAAATTAATATACTTCTAATTAACCCACTGGTCAAAGAGAAAATTTCATAGGAAATTAAGATAGTTAGAATTGAATGAAAACAATAATGTTTAGAACATACAGAAATTTCTGGGATGGAGCTAAAGTAGTGCTCAGAGATAAATTTATAGCTTAAAATTTTTTATATTAGAAAAGACTCCAGTTACCCAGCTCCACTTTAACAAACTTGACAAACAGAAAAAATTAAATCTAAAGAAAGCAAAAGAAAGAAAATAAAGACTAAAGAAGACAATAAAATTGAAAATGGAAAGCAGAGAAACATCAATCAAGCCAAAGCTTAGTTCACTGAAGATTTTTTTTTAAATGATTTAACCCAAAGAGGAAAAAAGACACAAAGTAATATAAGAAAAAATGCAAGAGAAGACATAAATCCTGATACAACAGACACTAAAAAGATAATAAAAGAGTATTAGGGGAAACTCTGTGCCCATAAATTTGACAATTTAAGTGAAATGGACGAGTTTCACTAAAAAAAAACAAAACACACACTACCAAATTCACTCAAGAAGACATAACTTGGATAGATCAGTATCTATTTAAGAAATTGAATATGTGGTCAACAAAGACGTAGAACCAAGAAGCAGCTTCAGTATTAGAAGGCAGTAACTAGTGAATTCTGCCAAAGGTTTAAAAAAAAGAGAATTCCAATGTTACATAATCTCTTCTAGAAAATACAAGAAACCTACAGACCACTATCCCTCACGACATAAATGTAAAAATTCCAAAAAAAAAAGCATCAAAAAAACAAAAACAAAAACCCCAAAGCAATATAGAAAAGAAATGATATATCAAGATCAAGGGAAATTCATCCCAAAAATACAAACTGCTGAGATATTTAAAAGTGAATGTAACCCATCATATTAATTATCTGAAATATTAAAACCACACAATCAAATAATTTAAGGCAAAGACTATTTCACAAAATTCTAAATCCACCCATTAACCTACTGTAAAGGAAATCTACAAAAAGCCTATAGCTATGATCATACTTAAGAGACTAAATACTTAAACCCTAAGATTGGAAAATACAGGTATCTAGCCTCAGCACTTTCTATTCCAGACTGCCAGAAGTTCCCACCAATGCAGTACAGCAAGAATAGAAATAAAAGATACAAAATCTACAGAGAGAACCACAGAAAGAGCTTCAGAAAAGCTCCTTAACTAGTGTTTTCAGCAAGGGCAAAATACAAAGCTGATATACAAAAGCCAATCATATACAAACAATTATCACTAGAATTTTAAATCAAAGAATATAATTTACCATGATGCTAAAAACAAAACCAAAAATACCTGGTATCTATACTCCAAAAACTACTGATAAAAGGAATCAAAGAAAACATAAATAAAAGATGGCATTTCTTTATGGATTGGATTTTAAGACGTTAAACCTCTTTAATTTGATCTATAGATTCAATACAATCCCAGCTGAAAAGCTGCCATACTTTATATAACTATCAAAAAGCTCATTTTAGAGGAGGAGCAAGATGGCAGAGGAGTAGGAGACCTAAATTTCATCCGGTCCCAAGAATTCAGTTAGACAGGGATCAAGCCATTCTGAACATCTATGAACTCAAGAAGAGATCAAAGAAAAGAATAGCAGCAACTCTCTGAACAGAAAAGCGATCACTTTCTGGAAGGTCTCTTCTGATTTGCTCAGCGTGTATTTTTCTGGGGTCGTTGTTACCCTGTTAGCATTTTGTTCTCTCATTCATCTATTCTCCTCTGGACAAAATGACAAGATGGAAAAAGTCACTTCAAAAAAAAGAACAAGAGACAGTACGACTGCCACGGACCTAATCAATATGGACATTAGTAAGATTTCGGAACTGGAGTTCAGAATGACGATTATAAAGATACTAGCTGGGCTTGAAAAAAGCATGGAAGATATTAGAGAACCCTTTCTGGAGAAATAAAAAAACTAAAATCTAATGAAGTCGAAATCAAAAAGGCTATTAATGAGGTGCAATAAAAAATGGAGGTTCTAACTGCTAGGATAAGTAAGCCAGAAGAGAGAATTAGTGATATAGAAGACCAAATGATGGAAAATAAAGAAGCTGAGAAAAAGAGAGATAAACAACTACTGGATCACGAGGGCAGAATTTGAGAGATAAGTGATACCATTAGATGAAACAATATTAGAATAATTGGGGTAGCAGAAGAAGAAAGAGAGAGAGAGGCAGAAGGTATACTGGAGGAAATTATAGCAGAGAACTTCCCTAATTTGGGGAAGGAAACAGGCATCAAAATCCAGGAGGTACAGAGAATCCCCACAAAATCAATAAAAATAGGTCAACACCGCAACATCTAATAGTAAAACTTACGAGTCTCAGAGACAAAGAGAAAATCCTGAAAGCAGCTCGGGACAAAAGATCTGTAACCAACAATGGTAGAAACATTAGACTGGCAACAGAACTATCCACAGAGACCTGGCAGGCCAGAAAGGACTGGCATGATATATTCAGAGCACTAAATGAGAAAAATATGCAGCCCAGAATACTATATCCAGCTAGGCTGTCACTGAAAATAGAAGGAGAGATAAAAAGCTTCCAGGACAAACAAAAACTAAAGGAATTTGCAAACACAAAACCAGCCCTACAAGAAATATTGAAAGGGGTCCTCTAAGCAAAGAGAGAGCCTAAAAGTAACATAGATCAGAAAGGAACACAGACAATATACAGTAAGAGTCACCTTACAATAGGCACTAAATTCATACCTTTCAATAGTTACCCTGAATGTAAATGGGCTAAACGCCCCAATCAAAAGTCACAGGGTATCAGACTGGATAAAAAAACAAGACCCATCGATATCCTGTCTGCAAGAGACTCACTTTAGACCCAAAGAAACCTCCAGATTGAAAGTGAGGGTGTGGAAAACCATTTACCATGCTAATGGACATCAAAAGAAAGCTGGGGTGGCAGTCCTTATATCAGACAAATTAGATTTTAAACCAAAGACTGTAATAAGAGATAAGGAAGGACACTATATCCTACTTAAAGGATCTATCCAACAAGATCTAACAATTGTAAATATCTATGCCCCTAACATGGGAGCAGCCAATTATAAAAACCAATTAATAACAAGAGCAAAGAAACACACTGACAACAATACAATAATAGTAAGGGGACTTTAACACCCCCCTCACTAAAATGAACAGATCATCTAAGCAAAAGATCAACAAGGAAATAAAGACTTTAAATGACACACTGGACCAAATGGACTTCACAGATATATTCAGAACATTCCATCCCAAAGCAACAGAATACACATTCTTCTCTAGTGCCATCGAACATTCTCCAGAATATATCACAAATCAGGACTCAACTGGTACCAAAAGATTGGTACCATCATTCCCTGCATATTTTCAGACCACAGTGCTTTGAAACTAGAACTCAGTCACAAGAGGTAAGTCGGAAAGAACTCAAATACGTGGAGGCTAAAGAGCATCCTACTAAAGAATGAATGGGTCAACCAGGAAATTAGAGAAGAATTTTAAAAATTCATGGAAACCATCAAAAATGAAAACACAACTGTTCAAAATCTTTGGGATGCAGCAAAGGTGGTCCTAAGAACAAAGTATATAGCAATACAAGCCTTTCTCAAGAAACAAGAAAGGTCTCAAATACACAACCTAACCTTACACCTAAAGGAGCTGGAGAAAGAACAGCAAATAAAGCCTAAACCCAGCAGGGGAAGAGAAATAATAAAGATCAGAGCACAAATCGATGAAATAGAAACCAAAAGAACAGTACAACAGATCCACGAAACTAGGAGCTGGTTCTTTGAAAGAATTAATAAGATTGATAAACTCCTGGCCTGACTTATCAAAACAAA